TCCATGAAGTCACAGCTGACTATTTTCTTTTTTGGCTGTTTTAATAATATGAACAAAATCTGATCAATGGAGGTTTGAATCTGCATAATTGTTCATTTCTAGCATAATTCTTTTATATGGGTCAACTTGACTCAAAAAAACCTTCATGAATATTCATGCCAATGAGCTTGTTGGTTATGATTGTTACTTGTTCCATTTGTAAAATGATTATATAATTATACTAGACTTACTGACACTGTATTAAATAGTAGTAAATCAATATCAGTATTAAGTTTCATACATCAGCACTCTTCTTACAAATCTCAGAGCCTATTTCTCTCCATTTGTTGTGGTCTGTCATGCTATCAGTTCTGAATATTGCTTATACTTTACACATTGCATATTCTATATTGATCTATCATTGTTCAGTTATTAACTAGTTTTATTTAATTGAAGATTATATGGACAAGAAACATCTGTGATGATTTTATTTGTTCTATATCTTTCTAAATTATGATAATATAACATATATATATTCATTGATTTAACACAAATACATATGGATTGAAACACCTTGTGTTAGTTAAAGAATTTCTCATGTTCATCTGTATAATACCATTGATAACACTATAATCTATACCTTAATTCTATTTTTCAGTTGAAATAATCTATCAATGTCTCATAGGATGCTTAAAATCAAGATTTAAATTATTGAGCATTTCATTTAAATGGTTTAAACCCAAATATTCCTACAAAAGTCTTTTGTTAGTCCTATTTTTATGAAATTTATCTTTGGATTGAAAATCCACAATCTATGTTGTTGCATAGGTATATATATTTGAAGCATAACATTGGACATATATATAATATGTATTATAATATTTGTTGTTTTCTGCACAATTGAATTCTTCAAAATCAAATGATGATTTTATTTGTAGTCTTGTTGCAGTTTCATCTTCGATACTTCATTAAAGGAAATTTTTAAGCCAAACAGTAATAGTGTTTACAGCTCACTATTGAAATAAGAGGTCTCAAAACCATATGTGTGCAGAATTATCTGCGTTTGAAATTAAAAAGACAAGTCGTCTTTTCTTGATACACTGCAATACACAGAAAAGACATCTCTTGAAATAGAAACAGAAATTCCTAGTTTGAGATATTTGTGAAGGAATTATTCGTACATTTCTAGTATTTATGAAGACTATTTACATATATTCAAGACTCAAATCATCCCAAAATGGTGCATCTGTCCCTTTAAGATTAATATATATTGTGACATATCATTTTAACCTTAAATTACAAACTTATATAAATTGAACTTTTATCACAGAATTTAAACTTCTACAGATTGAATTTAAGAGTCAGATCTTTGGTGAACCACATGTCTCACAATTTCAATTGAATAATTTGATTTTAACAATTGGTTCACAAGTTGATTCGGGTAGAGGATATGATCACCAGTATTGTATGGAGGTACATGTAGCTTTTTTGTGCAATTTGTTGTAATTCTATTGTCTAAAGATCATACCAGAGCCTACACAAGTAACAAAAAAAGGTCAAGTTACATATATTTCTGTTCTATACAGTGTGATGAATGATACGAGTACCAATGCCATTTTTGAATGGAATGTCAAAATACTCAGATGTCGGATATCACAGATTACACCGTACTTGTTTTTACTTTATGGTTGTCAGACAATGTGTTACTCCTGACTCAAGAGATGATGGATGTGAATGTTGCATTAAAATGAAATGTATGTATAAATAGTTAGTAATATTTAGTAATAGATAGATGTGTGTTATTCAGAAAGGAAACCCATACTGTCAACAATATAAGTGATGAAAAAAAAAAAATTAAATCTTAATTTTGTATTATAACTTAAATGATAAGATTAAAAAAAAAACATTTTTTATATGGTTATTCTTTAGTAGTGTGAATTTGGTTTTATTGTAAACCTTTTTATGTTAAATGAATTTTATAAAAACAGGTGTTTATTTTAACTATCAAGCCTGTTTAAAACAGTATTTAGTTTCAAATGTAAATTAGGTCCTTTTTATATGCCCACATAAAATTGGCGTATATTGGTGTCACCCATGTCCGTCAGTCTGTCAGTCCACAATTGCTTGTAAACGCTCTAAAGGGCACAATAATTGACCAAACTTGGTGTGAGTGTTTGTAATCATCAAAGGATGACATATTGAAAAAGCCAAAAATATTTACTATGACTTTTTGCACTTGTTTTTACGTCATAAACACTGTAGAAGGCACAATTCTTGACGGATTTTGATGCAAGTTGGTGTGAGTGTATGTAATCGCTCCAAGGTAAACCCTATTGAAAATCAGAAAAATCTCTCAATCTTCAGCTCATGAAGACTTACAGGCTCAATTCTTGCTGGATTTTGATAATTTAACTTTGGGATATATAGTATCACTTTAAAAAGTTCAAAAGAAGTGTATGTCTGAAGGTTGAATATTTCATACTGGTGATTGTTACTGTACTGTCAAATATTTTTATTTAAAATCACAGCTGCCACTGGTGTATATTACCTTGCCTGAAAAATTTAATATGAAACTGAAGAAACAAACCTAAATTTTGCCAAAAACAGCCACTGTCAAATATTCAGTATACTTCTTATAGTCTAGTTCAAATTAAAGAACTTTATTTTTTAACCAAGGTTGAATGTGATGTTAATAAGTTTGAAATTTAAATATGTTTTTTATGGTAGCCAATTGTGTGTATTGTGCAGCAGGTTTACCCTAAGGGTTGATGACTTGCCAGAATGTCACTTGTCATCCTCATAAACTCTTGAAAGTCACCTTATATCATATTATACAAGGTTATAGAGACAAATTGAGGGTAAAATTTATTGCTTTTTAAAGCATTGTTTATAATTCATGGAAATTGATCAGTATTTTACTTATGGTGGCCCCTTCACCTAATGGTTTTTAGCTACCGCTAAGGTAGTATTGATAACCACAACTGTGCTTCACAGAGGGAAAAAGAGCTTCTAGTGTTTCCACTGAGCAAATTGCCAAATCGTCGCGGTTTGGGAACCAAAATCTCTTTTTTAGTGTTCATCAAGTTTTTGGGGGGCCAAATGAAAACTAGCTTTAAGCCAGCTTTCGCTTTACTCAGTGGAAACACAAAAAAGTTTTTTATACGCCCACATGGAAATGTAGAAATATATTGCTGTCGCCCCTGTCCATCGGTCCGTCGGTTCACATTTCTTGTAGGTGCGATAGGGGCTACAGTTTTTATCTGATCTTGATGAAACTTGGTATTCATGTATATATTGATGAGATATCGGTCAAGTTCGAAATTGATAATAATCGGATGAGCGGTATCAGAGTTATTGCCCTTGACTTAGTAATAACATGTCAAATTTGCCTTGTAGGCACGATGGAGACTACAGTTTTCATCCGATCTTGATGAAACTTGGTATGCATGTATATATTGATGAGATCTTGGACAAATTCGAATTTTGTAATAATTTGATGAACGGTTTCAGAGTTATTGCCCTTGACTTAGTAAAAACTTGTCAAATTCAGCACAATTGCAGGCACAATAGAGACTACAGTTTTTATCCAACCTTGATGAAACTAGATATATGCATGATGAGATCTCGTTCAAGTTAAAAATTGGTAATAATTGAATTAACAGTTTCCGAGTTATTGCCCTTGTGTGTACAGCGATGAGACATTGTTCATGTTTGAATTTCATGATAACTTGATGAACTGTTTCAGGTTTTTGCCTAGACTTATAGATGATTTTAAGATTATTTGACAATTTATTATTAAGCCACTAGAGATTTTGTTATCACTCTGACAGCTGGTAGTGGGCGTATGTTACCTTGCCTGGCAAGCTATCTTTTAACAGAAACAAAGCCAACTTTTGGGCTTTCTTTCGTTGATGTAAGTAACTTTGCATATGCCAGTTACGTTCACTGCTTCACAGAGGAGGGAAATACCATTTTTTTTTCTTTTTGATATATGCGCAATAGTTAAATTCCAATTGAAAGGAACTCTTGTACATCAAGAGTTGTAAATAATGTGATTGAGTCTAAAGTTGTTTGGGTACCAGTAGACTTAGTGTAAACACAGCGTGTTCAGCAATAAAGCCAGCTGAGAGTCAGATTTACTTAACAATTATCAATGGAAAGACTAAATTTTATCAAAAAATGCTAATATTTCAAATACTGAATATATAGAGGTTATTAACCTGGACTATGTTTATATTAAAAAAAAAATAATTACAAATATTTCATCAAACTATGTTGATTATATAAAGTTTGGTCCTAGGTTTATAAAATCTACGTAATGGCTATAATGTGATACCACATGGTGATTGATATTTTTAGAACTGTGGAAGTGAATTCTCAAAGACACCTGCAATATATGATAATGGTCTATATAATGGACTTTCATGACTTATTTTAATACTTACTCACTAGTCTTACATCATTTAGATTTGATATTAATGGTTGTCTGTAGGCAGTTCTATGTCATGATATATTAGTAGGTATATTTTAACCTCTAACAAATGATTGTCTTCTTGAGGTTATTAAACTCTTAGATTAATAGATTAAAGCTAATCTTACTGGTAAGAACCAACACAAGGTTGATTTGTGTTCAGAAATGGTTGATTTTGATTTGTTGGACAGTCTTCTAATTTGATTAGTGACATATGTTATGGTGTGATTTGTAGACAAGTCTTATAAGTTGATTTGTAGTAATATATATTTTGATTTGTATAGAAGTGTTCCATGTTGAAATTGAGTGATTGGATTTATTTCTGGACGATTGATATCAAACGTTTTTAAAATAAATTATTTGTGATATATGCTTTTCAGAGACAATACAAAGTGAAATTTGAAATATTGGAAGAGTCACTAGTGATAATATGACATGAAATATTAATGAGATGTGGTAATGAAGTAAGAATAGTAGTTAGATAATCAATTAGTATACTTAAGTACATATAGTCTGGACAATTTTTATACTATGGTCACAGTTGGTAGTATACATTATGAATGCAGGTTCTCTTGGTGTGTTAACAGGGATTAACTATATACAATAGAGGGATTATAATGTGGTTTATGTTTTGTTTATTTCTAGAGTTATAACTTATTTTTTAGATAGTTGGTAAGAATGTTTTATGTATTATATATTTTTGGACTGATATATCTTAATATAAATTTGTTAATTGTTATATTGAAAAATGCATAGAATTAGAATGAAAATGGTTACATGGGATATATACTATTGTTAAATCACAAGAGTAAATATTAGGTACAGACAAGCTACATTTGTTAAATTAAGCTTGTAGTATTAAAATTACTTTAAACTTATACAGCTCTATGACTCTTATTTTATCTACTTCAATCCACTTTGATAAGTATGTCACATTTGGGTTTTGATTAGATCTCTTGCTGTTCTGTACATTGAGAAAATTATGCTTGCAGAAGAGTTTATATTGATATTTATTTAATAACAGATGTATTAAGTATTAAATTGGGTGTGATCACTACCTGTGTTTATACCATACATATTCTGCAGATTCAATTTATGTCTTAGATACAAACACTGTATTATAGTGCTGACTACAGAGTGAAAAATTTTATCTTATGAATGTTCAGCAAATCAAGACTCCAAATTGTAGTCATTCATACACATATCTTTATCCAGTAACTTACTGGTTGTCATTAAATATAATTTGTAAGAGAATGCAATACGCAATTTTCATGCTTGCATTTTCTTAAACAATGTGACCCAAGGCTTCAATAGTCATTTGTTAATGGAAAAACAGGATAATTTGACAACATATTAGGTTGAGAATTTCTTTCTGTTTTTCATCTTCAACACACCTAAAATCTCCCACAACAGAATTGTCAAGAAGTAGGTGAGATTATCAATACTGTCAAACAATCTCTGAGAATATTTAAAAATATTGCAATATTATCATAATGAAAAAAATAAAATGTTTTAGGATTTATAAAATGGAAGAATTGAAAGTGTACATCATTAAACTTTTTTCATCACTATTAAAACTAGTTTTTTTATTATTTTAAAATTTCATGTCTGATTTCTATTTTAGGTTGCCATAAGTACAGTTGATGGCAACTGAAAAGAACATGGCAGCTCCAGGAGACATGGTAGACGGGCGGCCGGCTGAGTATGGGCTGACCCTAAAGGAACTCAGAGAGTTGATGGAACATAGGGGAGCCGAGGGCTACAATTTGATTCAGTCAAAATATAATGGGGTTTTAGAAATGTGTAAAAAACTATATACTTCTCCAAATGAAGGTAAGTTTAAATACAGTTGAACTTTTTTTATATTTTTATTCCTCTTTCTCTCTCAATTTGAGAACCAAGAAAATTAACAATGGCCACTGGAAAAGTGAAAATTTTTTAATCCTGGCCATTTTTTGTGTCTTCTTATATTTGGAAATAAAAGTAATTTTACTTGCTCAGAAAGCAGAACATATTTTAAGCTACAATGCATTCTTATTGCCAATCATCAAAGAAAAACTATGAAGTAATATTTTGAATTTGATGTTTGAATGTCTGGTAACCATAGCAACTGATTTTATTGATAGAAGCATTTCTGGTGATTTTTAAAGAAAAAAATGGTTTTGACATTCACAATAACTTTCATTGCTTCAGCAGTAAAAAGTGGTCTATTTAAAGCCAGCTATACTTGTAAAGCCTGTATGGCTGGGATGGACAAGTTTTCATATATAATGTTATTTAGAATAAACATATTTGTGAACAAAATATCTAGACAACTGTCAATATAAGTTTCTATTTATATTTTAGTTCATTTCAAGACTAGTATAATGATTCCATGAACATATCATTTAACATTATTTTACATTGCCATTGGTGAGCAATTATAAACCTCAATAACATGACATTAGTCATTTTTAATTCTCATTTTCTTTCTGTTCCATTGATTCTGTAAGATCCGTAGTTTGAAATATTACATTTTATTGTCCAAATATACCTGTATATTCATTACATAGATTTATCTATCTTACTTACTTATCTTAATCTTTTATTTAAATTCTATTTGTAGGTTTATCAGGAAATCCAGCTGATTTAGAACATAGAATATCCGTGTTTGGATCTAATGTTATACCTCCAAAACCACCCAAATCATTCTTACGATTAGTTTGGGAAGCTTTACAAGATGTTACATTGATTATTTTAATTGTTGCTGCCATAATATCTTTAGGATTATCTTTTTATAAACCACCACCAGATCCAGGTCAAGGTAAGTCTTATTTCATGTGATTATTTATTTATTTCATATGATTATTTATTTATTTCATATGATTATTTAATTGCTTCAGTTGTTTATTTTATGTGATTATATAATTATTTATATTTATATATTTTTGCCTGGTAAGCTATTTATTTATGGCTAAAATCCTATCTGGTGTGATTACTTTAAATTTTAGATTCAGGAAGAGGTATCTATCATAAAACACTCCTTAATTGTATTCACATTGTATAAATATACTATACTTTGATTTATATTGAGTGTCAGGGAGAATATTTATTACTATACATGTCAATCTTATGTCAATATAAGTGTATTTATATTATTAATGAAAACCTGTCAAAATCACTCTTATGTGTCAAATCAATGACCAAAACATATCAGGCCTATAGCAAGCCATTGAACTTTCTCATGAAAGAAAACAGTGTTTCAGACACATTCTAAAGAATTCCCATGTCCTTTCTCAATTTTTATATCACCAAAATAGTAAAAGATCGAAAATGATTTATTGATGGTAATTTCCAATTTCCCAAGCCTAATACATGTATAAATTCTTAATGAAAGATAGTGTTGTTTTTTAATCAATATAAAAATGTATTTTTTTAAAATAGTCTCTGTATATAAAAGATTCCACTGTTTCAAATATGGCAACCTTCTGCTTGTTTAAAGTATATCATGTACCTTAAATGAACAAATACTCATGCCCATTGCAACTTCTTTAGTTTGATGATGTTAAATATTAAATGATACGTTATCATATCAGCTAATGAGATATTCAATTCTCCCACAATGCAATCCATCATAGGTTAGTCTGAAGTTAGCTAAAAAAAAAAGATAGGTTGTTCTGAAAGTTTGAAATGAATGAATGTTTTGTCCTTTCCATTACAGGTCATGATGAAGAGTATGCAGATGAACAAGATGGGTCAAGTTTTGAAGAAGCTGCAGGTTGGATTGATGGTGGAGCTATTTTAGTTGCTGTAGCTGTAGTTGTCTTAGTTACTGCTTTTAATGATTGGAGTAAAGAAAAACAATTTAGAGGACTGCAAAACAAAATAGAACATGAACATAAATTTCTAACAATACGTGGTGGTGAGGTGTTACAAATATCAGTTGGAGATATAGTTGTTGGAGATATTTGCCAAGTTAAATATGGTAAGGCTTTTTTTGTCCATATTGGAAATATGTTTCTAAAACAGATCTCCTCCAACATTTTGAGATTACAGGATGAGCTCTTTGCAGCTACATCTATGAAATAAGTCTAAACTGTATTATCGAAGCAGTCAATATACATTACATTTTATGCTCAAGAAATGCTTTCTATGATTCTTCTGGAACTCAGTATTTTCTCCCACACGCCCTACCCCCACCCCCCTTTAATTTTTAAAAAGAAAAAATTTTGACTTGTTCAAATTTCCTACCCTAGAGTAATATCTCACAAATAATTTTCACATGAAATCTACATTACAAAGTATTACCTGATCTAATTTTAGTTCTGTGGAGCTTTTCTTTTTATAAATAAAAATATCTCAGTTTCTCAAATGTTCAATATTAATCAAAACTTGTTAGATTCCTTTAAAATGAAAGGAAAATGAAGAAAAGAGGAAGATCTCTGGATGTCCCAGTGATTCCTTGTACACATAAACAAACAATATTGGAAACTCTAATATAAACTGCTATCTGTAATTACAAGTATCAATACAAAAGTAGTGAATAATGTTTTTAAATTAACTGGTACCATGTGTTTAATAATGTTCATATTAGATATCATTTGTGTGGGACAAATGACTAATGAAATAGTCAATAGAAGACAGAAATAAAAGAGTTGTGCCCAAGGGAGATAATATAGTATAAAAATGGTTAAAGTAGATATTAGATTGTGCTGAGTATTGATTGATATTTAAGTGTATAGTATGATATAACATATAGAATTACATTAACAATCTGTCTCATGTATAGAAATATTGACTTTTATATTATATCAAATACTCTACTTCATTATATTTGATTGTTTTTCTGCTCTACGCCTACATTTATAATGATACGTGCTGTGATAGTCAATTCTGTACTATATCAGTAGGATGCCAAATGTTTAAAGAGATGTAGTCCTAAATTGCACTAGTCAGAATAAGAACCAAATGTCATTCACAGGGCAAAATGAAACTTTGAGCTGAAAAATTAATTATTTAGACTATCAAATTCATTCAAATATATGTTGTTATGATCCGAAACTTAAAACTTGGATATTGAACCACTGAGTCAATTATGTTTATCTCCATATTGATAAAATATTGATTTGACAAGAATGGCTTGAGCTGTACATGACAAGCTAATAAAGGTTACTCTTTGGCACAAATATTCAACACCTGGAAAATAATGCAGTAAGATTATTATACACTAAGATAGTACTGCTCTATACTTGCTTTAATCATTTAATCACAGATATTGAAACCACTTTTGAATTTCAACCAAATTGATCAAAATCAAAGTATTTAAATATTATTATTATATTTTATTAATCACACTTAAAAGATGCTAATTAAGCACAAATCATTTCAGTTATTTGACCCTTTGATCTAGTGAGAAGAGATTGTGTAGTGACTAATAACTTTAATAAACTGAAGTATGGTGATATTTCATCATTCATCATAACAGAAAACATCCTTACTTACAACTTCGTTTGAGGTTCTCTTAATACATATCTTTTGATTACAGAGCAGAAAATTTTGCACCACCTTCAAAGACTGGTTAATTTGATTTATGGTGACTTGTTTGACAGTTGTTAAATACACAAGCCTTACTTGTTTAACTAGAATGATAGCCTCCTCTGGTTTCATCAGTTAATTAAATAATGTTTGACAGTTGTTGTCAATATCACATCATAACTAATATGAGATATTAAATTGATGGTAGTCCAGGCCATCATTTATACAGTTCTCAGATTTTCTCATTATTATATTGTTATTACTATCATCCCAATATTTTGAATCAGGAATAGATTTTTATCAGTGAACATTCTGCTTTACTTTGTTAGTCTTGAGTCAGACTGACCTTTGGTATATTTATATAACAATGAACGACCCAAAATCAAATGAAATGGCACATTGCTCCAAATCTGGCCATATTTTACCATATTTAAATGATGCCAGTCAATTTTTGTTATGTTTATGTACAGAAATTATAATGAAATCCTGACATACATGTATATATTGGAAACAATTGATGCCATGCCCAAATATTTGCCTTTCTGCTTTCTGGAAGGATCTGAGGTATTACAATGTCAAAATATTGTTTTCGATGTGAACAGTTCTTTAAGATTTGGTTATGAGAAGAGATATGTAAATGACCTGATGCTTTGGTCTTATTTCAGGTGATTTACTACCAGCTGATGGTGTTGTTATACAGAGTAATGATCTCAAGGTAGATGAGAGTTCACTCACTGGAGAATCTGATCATGTTAAAAAAGGCGAATCAACTGATCCTCTCCTGCTCTCAGGTAAGTGCAGTTTTTACATAATAGAATTTTCTGCTTGGTTAAAAGAATCAAGTATATACAAAAATGTATTAAACAGTTTTAATACTAAATCATATTTGTTCATGAAATTGACTAGTGTTGCAGTGTCTTGTCTCCTAAACTGATCCATTTACAGAATGACCATAGATCACTTGAAGCTTGAAATGTAATTCTCTTTGAATATTGAGAAAGTACCAGATAGATCAAATTGAATTTGTCATAGAAATAGATAAAGGAGCTGTCAGCAATTTTCGCTAATAGTAGCCTTAATTCTATTTGCCATCAGACACTGTCTGTCAATTGCAGCGCCATGTTTTACTGACAAAGTTTTTTTACTATAATTACTGTATTGCGAAATACCTGTACTTCATCAGCTATATTCAGTATAAATACAAGCCAGTCCTAATTCTTATCTTTGACATTTTACTACCAATACGATACACAATTTACTTGTAAATGGACCTTAATAAAAAAAAAAAATCAATTACTTGTCTAAAACTAAGTTATTTACATTGATTGGCAAGTGGAGGCTATATTTAGCTGTAGTATGTAATATGTTAACAGTTTAGTAAGTTGCCACTGATTTCCACACGCACTGCCACTGTATTGATTTCTATACTTGACATTTAGAAAGTATAGAAAGGAAGATTGTAAAGAAATAAGATAGTGAATTATAAATGTGAAATATATTTTCAGTAAATAATGATCTCAACAGACACTCTTATATTTTACCCAGTGTAATTTGAATATTCAACATTTTCAAAATGAGAAACAATTTCATGCAAAACTGCCAGAGCTTACTCTTATCATACTAATGGTCAAATTTGAATTATATTTCAAATTGAGCTAATCTGCGATAATTTGATTTGAAACACGAAACAGCAGTTCAAGATTAACTATTGTCAATTATGTTAAATATAGATATTTTGTAAGGATACATGTCTATTTTGCAAGAATCTATGTATTTATCTGATAACCATTGTATTCCCTCTATTGGATAACACTATTCCAGTTGTTATTACAACCTATTAGCTTCAATGTCATGGTTTGATATTAGCTTCCATTAGGTAATGATGACAGGTGTTTCCAGTTAATTAGTACATGCTTTCCCTTGTGGAAAGTACAAAAGTTTTTGTCATATTGACTCATTAAGACTATATACCCAATAATATAGATCAATAACAGTCTGCAGAATAAAATCATTATAGATAGCCTCCCATACAGATAACACTGACATCCTAATAGGATTGATAACTCTATGCAGAAAAAATTTAATAGATAGGGAAATGGTTCTATTTTTATTCTCTATTTGTCTTTGTGATATATGAAAAATTAGTATTATCAGTAACAGCCATTTCTGCTAGGGTTTATTGTCTTTTAATGTCCATGTTAATATTTTTGTAGGCACTCATGTTATGGAAGGAAGTGGTAAAATGTTGGTCACTGCTGTGGGTCCCAATTCTCAAACTGGAATCATTTTTGCTCTTCTTGGAGCCTCTCATGAAGAGGAAGAAAAGAAAAACAAGAAAAAGAAGGCTAAAGGAGGCTCAAATAGCGGCTCAGAAACAGGTAAATTATCTTCATGGACTGGATATGCTTTTGCTATAGAATGAATTTAGTGATGAGCACTATTCAGATGATCTCCCACCCTATAAGCCCTGTGTGTATGCTTTCGTTACTTTGTCATTAGCACGAAGTTACTACCTCACAATAAGAGTAGGTATAGTAAGAGATTGGTATTATGAATTTATCAAACATGATAATAAGATCATTGAACTATGAAGTGGTATTGAATGTGAGCTATCAAGTAGTCTGTACTGTTAAAGAAGGAAGTCTGTGTGTTAACCATCCTGAAGTCTGAGAGTGGGTTATGGCTGAATGTTTATGTTTGCATGTTATTTTGTTGTGTTTAATGTGTTTAAACCCAATAACTTGGCATGATAATTGATCTTCTTTTTTTTAATGAACTCACTGATTGAGATTCTACTGAAATATTGATTATAAAAAACTTAAAATAAAAAATGTAATGAATTGGATGTGGTTGAAAAGATAATGTCATATTAATTTACAAAATGAAATTTCTAACTTGGAACATAGAGATTATGATATAACTTGTTTTATTAATAAATAATATTTAAGAATATTGCACTGGTTCTGTGTGAATCCCCCAACAGTGTGAATGCATGAATTTAAATCCCAGTTTGACTAAAATTGTTGATGACATGTGCAGAAGAAAACAAAGTGATTATTTTATGAATAATTTGAAGTTCACTGAAATTGTACTGCGTACATATCACTTCATTATTTTGCATATCTACAAAATCACAAATCAAATATCTGGAGTGCACCTTGAATTAGTTAGATTATAGATTTCTATTGGCTAGATAGATACTTACAGATACTTTTTTCCTTCTGCACATATATTGATTAATACTTATTATGAGTGAATTGAGTGTAGAGTGAACTGCTACAATCATTATGTGAAACAAACTTTTCCTTTTTTTGTCTCAAATACCATACTTTAAGTATCTATTTTTTGTCTTATGACATGCTAAGATCGGAAAGGTGTACAACTTGTTGCTGTGAAAGGTACAGTAAGATTTTACTGCTATCTTTTGATGTTGTTTTTGTACGTGCTGCAGTTATATGCTGCTCCTTCTAAGTTGTACTTCAAGGGTTCGATTTAAAAATCTTCTAAAAAAAAAATATTTGTTGGCAATGAAAGAACCCAGATGTACTCTACCTAACCCATCTCTCTTTCTCTACCTGTTCTCTTGTTATATTTCTCTTCTCCAGCTTTGGCACCATGGAAATATTCTGACACATTCATTAATGATATCTTGTAGTATACATTTAGTTTTATTTATTTACTTCTAATTTGCTCTAAATTTTAGTTTTATTAATGTTTTTTGATTTTTTTTTTTCAAATCTAGAAAATATTCAAAATCCAAAAGTGAATTTAAATATCATGAAAAAGATTATAACCCATACACTCCATGGTGCTTGCAGCAATATAAATTTTCTGAAAGGACTATAGTTTGTTTCACATAAAGTGGTTAATGTCCTTTTTATCAGTTCATTCTGCTTTTACATATACTAATCAGCTTGTATTTTTTCTCTCTATAACCCCTTCAGGACCCAGACCGAATACCTTGGGACAGAATACACCATGTAAGTTTTCATTGCTACCTGACTTCTTGTATTTAATGCTATATAATGATATCAAAATATCAAAATCATTATGTTTATCAAGCTTCTTGTTGCTGTTGTTTAATTTGAAATATCAAATATTACTTGTCTTTGATATTGTTGTGGTATAAATTGAGTAATAACCAATGTTTGCTGTGAAATATTGCTACAGAACATTAGGTTATTTTCAATAGTTATTCAAAATAAAATATCATATGGTGCACATAGCCTATGCTTAAGTTTTCATAGCCTATGCTTGAGTTTTTATATCTGTAACATTTTAACCAAATAATAATTACAATATAAAAGTTAAAACAAGGTTGCAATCTGTGCTGCTGCTCATGTGATATTTCTAGTTTCAACTTTCAAAAAATGTTTGTTTTAGCTTTCATATAAATAGCTTTACATTGTTGCCATTGTTGTATCTGTTTTTGTTATGAGACAGAGTTAATTCATCTCTTTCTGTATTTAAACGCTATGTGAAATAAGATTAAAGCTATTAGAATTTGAAAATGGAAATGTTGAAACTGGTTGTATCTAAGTTAGTTATAAAGATATAAATCATAATATAGTCTCATGAGCTTTTAAAGGAATCAGGCTAGGGACAGAGTTGAATAAGGGGAGAACTTACTATTTGAGAAATGAAAAAATTCTCAGAGGAATACATTATAATAATGAATTAGAAGTAATTATTTTTAATTGAATTATTTTTTTTTTAAAGTAGTGTGTTCTCTGAATAAGGATTGCAGGAGAACAGAATACATGCCTCTCCAAGCATGCATTGTCAGTTACCTATTTCATGCTACACAAGAGTCCAAACATAGAATTTTTTTCTATGAGTCAGATGACTTCCCTGGCAAAACAAAGTATAACATCCATCATCATCGTGAAACTTATTTAATCAGAATCAGAGCAGTTACAGGCACATTTCTGTTAATAAAACACAGAATAAGAACACTCTACTTCAAATGATTTTTTTGAAATTTTTTCTTTATTTTATAATATTATTCCAACAATTTGTAGTCCGATATTTTGATAATGTAGTAATATTATTTCAATTCCCCCTTATTTCAACCCAGTCGCATGCCTTTTTCTTTTTTATGATACTTGAAGTTTTCTGTTTGGTTTTCTAACAGAAAAAATACCTGATGTATTGAAACTATGAATATACTGGATTATATTCTAGTTGATTTGAAATCTTCAAGTATCAGAATTGGTGAATGCTTTAATCACATTTAATTTTTAACTGTTATTTTGAATTTGTTTTGTTTTTACTAGTGCTGTCGAATGAAGCCGAAACTAAAGTGGGTATGTGAAATTCCTGAACTACTACAATGAACTACTTCTCTTTCCATGACTGTTCTCTTTTGGCTTTGGGCTTCCATTGTTTTTCTAGAATTGAAATCTTTCCTTCTGTATTTAGTTTGAAATCCTTTCCCTAGAAATATGTTCATATTTCTGTCTCAGTAGAATTCTATCTATTGCACTGACTGGCTTATAATAAATCGGATACTGGAGAGAGTGTAGAATCATCATCCAATCTTCTATGTAAACCACTGTGTTTCTACATGTATTTCTTTTTCACCTTATTTAATGTGCATGACTCAGTTCCTCTCCACAATTCCAATTCTGAACTTCTGTACTATTTCTGTCCTAAAGAATTTATCAATATAAATATTGTCTGTCCTATATTTCCTACCTCATTATTTGACATTGTTGAAACTGTTTTGTAAATAAACACTGAAGTATGACACTTCTAATCTGCAACATTTATAAATCTTAAATTGATTTCACTTGTTAATAGAAGTCTTTTTGAAAAAAAATGTATATGATATCTGTCAGATGTCCTTGAAAAATCCGGCTATAGAAAAATAATTCTTGTTTTTATGTCTATTTATATTGTAATTACATAGCCCTAAATTTATGATTTTATACTATTTTTACAGCACTGTGAAGTAGAAAGTATTATTATCCAAATTTCATATTCACAATAGATCAAAATTATTTTGGACTAATTTATGTGAAAGCCAGGTCAAAATGGAATATTTTGCGAGTCGCTTTAAGAATATATAAAAATGTAATGAATAAATTATTGTTTTCTTTAACAGATATTGATACAACTGTACCAAATACTAATACCAGTAACTCTCATGTCAACAAACATGACTTGAACAAAAACACAAATACACCAACTATACCAGAAGAGGTAGATGTTCCAGAAACAGGCAAAGATGAAGAGAAAAAATCTGGACGAAAGGAGAAATCAGTCCTACAATCTAAACTTACTAGATTAGCTATACAAATTGGTTATGCAGGTAAGGTTTGCAAGATGAGCTTAAAACTAAGGTCAGACTGGGTGAATTTTTTTCAACGGTAGGCCTACATTGGGCGAACTATTCGCCGCCGAATTCATACGGCAGATGCAGTGGAGACGCTGAGCGAATGCCTGCATTGTTAACTCGCCTGAAAATTAAATTACGCATGCCCACGACACTTAGTCACATGATAAAAATATGGTCGTGTCCAGAAAGAAGCTAAGATTGGCAGTTGCTTATATCGAATAAGTTTGGCTTTGACTCAAACCGTTCTATGTGAAAACTCTTTGCTTATTTATTATTATTTTATTATTTGCTTTGACATATTTCTTGGATTGTATATCAAATTTTAGTCTTACCTAAATTCAAAATGACATGAAATGGAAACTTGCTTTGTTTTTGTTACAGGTACTGCTATTGCTGTATTAACTGTTGTTATTTTGATTGTTAAATTCTCTATCACTGAGTTTGTTATCAAAGAAAACGAATGGACATCAGACAAGACTGGTCGATATTTAGAATTATTTGTAAAATATTTTATTATTGGTGTTACTGTACTTGTTGTGGCTGTACCAGAAGGTCTACCATTAGCTGTTACTTTAGCTTTAGCTTATTCTGTAAAGGTGAGGAACTCTGTAAAAACTCTCATGATCTATCATTATTGGGTAATGTTAGTTTTAGTGATCATTTTTAGAAAAATGCTTGTGTGAAATGATAGAATTATGACATAGTTTACAAAAGTAAGTGTCGGACAAAAGTCTTCTTAATTTTATTGGCCCTATGGACAAAGGTTTGCATGTTAACATAAGAATTTAAATCTATACAATGTTTTCTGATCAAAATTTGTTTTAGATAAAGGTAGTACTATTTCTTATTTGATTGTGATTCTTAATACTTTATATTGAAAATATGTATAAAAACATGTAAATTACTTTACAGAAAATGATGAAAGATAATAATTTAGTGAGACATTTAGATGCCTGTGAAACTATGGGTAATGCTACAGCTATATGTTCAGATAAAACTGGTACATTAACAACTAACAGAATGACAGCTGTAAAGAGTTACTTAGGAGGTAAGATATATCATCTAGCTTATTTTGCTTTGCTTATTTTCAGTCATAGTTTTAAAATATTATAGATGTTGTGAGACCATATCCCTGAAGCACCATTGATTTCAATTGTAGTATACAAATGATCCTAATATCTTGCCGTGCTTGGAACATCATCAAATCATTGAATAGTCAAATATTTTGTGCGGAGTGGTGATCTTACAAAATCTATTATACCCAAACAAAATGTTATTATATTATAAACAGAGGTTGATTTTGATTCCAATTGATTTTTCAGGGAAAATTCATGCATCAGCACCAAGATTTAATGACATTAATCCGAAACTAGGACAGCTAATTATCAGATCCATATCAATTAACAGCGGGTATACTTCCAAAAATTTAGTAAGTAACTATCATTTCTTTCTCTGTGAGCTTGTTGTAGGCTATACCTGAGAAACCTTGAAATGTTATCAACATACACAATATGTTTAGAATTTCTGATTGAGTAAGAACAGATGTTTTACTGTATGGTTTATGTCTATGGGTAAAATTGATAACAGACCTGATCAATCAAGATTAAAATGATCTTTCTATTTTCTTTGACTCAACTTGCCCTCAAAGATCTAACAGATTGTTCAGCATCTCTTGCACTCTTCTATTATAATAGTCAACCAATCAAATGTTTTATTCTATGAATGAGATATTCATGGTTAAACATTGACCTATGTTGTGGGAATGTTTTAAACAGTGATTTTAATTGATTTTGGTTGACAAATTTGACAAAACACAGTTAAAAGGATCATGGAAGGCGAGTGTTGTGTGTTGTAATCCTAAAAAATACAACACCTACAGCCAAATTTATTTACCTTCAATTTATTCAGAAAAAGATCTAATCAATAAAAAGGAATTTACACTCCCAATGCAAGGGCTTTATAGGCTCATTATTGAACCTATATTGATTTAGATATGATAAATTATTGCATACAGATATCTTAAACTGAAATTGACTATTGTAGCCACCAGATGTAGAAGGAGGTTTACCGAAACAAGTTGGAAATAAAACAGAATGTGCACTGTTAGGTTTTGTAACTGAGTTAGGACAGAGTTATGAATCTATACGAGAAGAAGTGCCAGAAGAAGCCTTGGTCAAAGTCTATACATTCAACTCTAGCCGTAAATCTATGAGTACCATTGTCAACATAGAAAATGGTTATAGAGTCTTTAGTAAAGGAGCTTCAGAAATTATTCTTAAAAAGTAGGTCACATTACTTACATCGGTGTCAAACAAAGGAATTTCAGATAAGTGTTTTTTAAGGTATTAAATAGAATTGTTGGAAATAAAAGTAGGCATCTGGCAATATTTGTGTTGCAGATAATAAGTAGATCTGAAAAGAAGTTAACCTTCAACTTGTAACAATTTTCTTATATTTGACTAGGTGCGACTTTATTTTGGGATCGGATGGTAACCCAGTAGAATTTACAGTACAAGACCAAGAGAAGATGGTACATGAAGTTATCGAACCTCTAGCTAGTGAAGGACTACGTACTATCTGTGTAGCTTATAAAGATTATGTTAAAGGTAAATATATCCATTCATCACAGTTATCAATAACTGTTAACTTTATGGCAAACCCTTGCATTTCCCTACAACAATAACAAGATCCATTTTTAGTATTTATTCTGTGTTCTGATACTGACTTTCTGTTTTAATATGTTGCAGGTAATGCTGAAAATAATCAAGTAGCTTTTGATGCAGACCCTGATTGGGAAGATGAAAATCATATTATAGCTGGTTTAACATGTCTGTGTGTTGTTGGTATTGAGGATCCAGTAAGAGATGAGGTAGATATTTCTTTATATTTGATTATTGACCTATATATCAGCCATTGGGGTTGACTGTAGCCCACTCGGTCAGAGAATTGGAATCTTAACATGACATTTGCCTTTTACTCGATTTGTCACATTGTGGTTGTGGGTTCTTATCTCAGTTGGTGTGTGAAGACCAATGACCTTAAATAAGTCATCTTTCCTCAATTGGTTGACAAGCTCCTTGCGAACCTAGGTCAATATCATTGTAAAATATTGTTGCATCTTTCTTAAAACAATAAACCATTGTATTTGTAGGTACCAAATGCTATTAAGAAATGTAAAGCAGCAGGTATATGTGTACGTATGGTAACTGGTGACAATGTTAATACTGCTAGATCTATAGCTACTAAATGTGGTATCTTAAAACCAGGAGAAGATTTCCTAGTTTTAGAAGGGAAGGAATTTAACAGATTAATTCGAGATCAGTCTTCAGGAGAGGTAATATCACATTTAAAAAAATATGAAATAATTGTGGTGCAATGGTTCTTACATTACTGTAACTGATTTATTTAAGAGAAATGAAGCAAAATTGTTGCATTATGAGAAATTTGAACAGTAAAAAAGGTGTATGTCTACCTACATATTTTCAGGTTCGTCAAGATTTATTAGATGAAATCTGGCCTAAACTACGTGTTCTGGCTCGGTCCTCACCACAAGATAAATATGTATTGGTGAAAGGTATTATTGATAGTAAACTGAGTACTAATAGAGAGGTAGTTGCTGTTACTGGAGATGGTACTAATGATGGTCCTGCTCTTAAAAAAGCTGATGTTGGTTTCGCTATGGTAAGAACTTTAAAAGTTTGTAAGTTACATAAGTGAATGAGGTAAAAGAGATATAAGTATTGTATACTCTATTCTGCAAATACAGTTTATAGTTTTTTTTAAAAAAGAAGCTCAAGAAAGGAAGTGGATGTATGGCAGTGTCTATTTGTTTAAACTGCCTCTATATCATGTGGGGTTTTTTTTCACAGGGTATATCAGGAACTGATGTAGCTAAAGAAGCATCTGATATTATTCTAACTGATGATAATTTTACCAGTATTGTGAAAGCTGTTATGTGGGGAAGAAATGTCTATGATAGCATCGCCAAATTCCTACAGTTTCAATTGACAGTCAATGTAGTAGCTGTTTTGGTAGCATTTTTAGGTGCCTGCATTATCAATGTAAGATTTTTGTTTCTATTTTGAATCACTTTTTTAGTATTTTACAAGTTGTTGAGGTGATAATACTCTTATTATGAAACATGTAGATATTTTAAAATGATAGTAGAAAACTAGTAATTAATGTCCTGTCCACATCAAGTAAGCTATGATCTATGTCTATTATCATTGAGTATGTTTCATTTTGATATTTTTCTAAATAAAGATGTTTCTTAAAGCTCAACTTTTATGGAAGCACATGTAACTTGGAAGATGCAATATATTTGTAGGACAGTCCTTTGAGAGCTATTCAGATGTTATGGGTGAACTTGATTATGGATACATTAGCTTCTCTTGCCCTGGCTACAGAATTACCTAGTGCTGAATTATTGGACAGAAAACCATATGGACGTACCACAGCTTTGATATCTAGCACCATGTGGAAAAATATCATTGGTGGCTCCATATACCAACTTATCGTTATTTTTGTTATCCTGTTTGCTGGTAAGTTACTTTTGTTGTAACAAAGTCTTCTTTTCTTCATTTACAAGCTCAATCTTTGACAACTGAGGTCTAGGCAATAAATAAAAAAATTGAAATACAGGGCCTAGCAAGTATTTGATCTATAAACATAATCATCATTTGTTTAGACAATTTTTATAGATTAAGATTTTTATTATTATCAAGGATATACTTCTACACAGTTTTGTTGTTATTCTTTAGGTCCTGATTTATTTCAAATAGATGATGGGAAAGAAAATACATCAGTTCATGCTCCATCAACCCAACATTTTACTATTATATTCAATACATTTGTCATGATGACTCTATTTAATGAAGTTAATGCAAGAAAAATTCATGGCCAGAGAAATGTAGTAACAGGATTACAACGTAATCCAGTATTTATTGTTATATGGATAGGTACAATGATAGCTCAGGTAGGTAATCTAGGATGTAATGATGTATGGGGGTCGCTCGATTGGTGAGTTCTGCACGTTTTGGATTCATGAAATCAACATTACGTTCAATAAACAAGTTGGAACTGTTAAAAAAAAAATGGTAAATCGATGAGAAAATTTTGAATGTGACCTAATCTATTTCCATCTGTTTGAGAGCAGAATTGAAACAGACAGAACCTGTCCAGAATTATCCAGTCCAGCACCACCACGGATTAAAAGTGTAGTAGTATATTTTTAATTATTGACAAGATTCATCAATAAACACCTTTTAGATTTGCGATAATTTGAAGTTGTTTTGGTGAGAAAATATTTGAATTTGTGTGATTAAATTCTCATCTTTGAAGAAGGGTGCTCAAGGAAAAAACACTTAAAGTAATTTATCTTTTTCAGATAATTATAGTACAATTTGGTAGTTTTGC